GGCAGCATTGATGGACTCAAGTGTGGCAACAGTAGTGAGGTTGGCCCAGGATCGGATATTGTTCTGTTCTACTGTGCATAAGGTCGCTATAAGTCAGTCCCGACTCAATGGCACCTAACAACAACAACAGTGGCTAGTGATCATGAACATTTCTTCATATGTTTGTTGGTTGCCTAGATCTCCTCCTTGGTGAAGTGTCTGTTTTTGTTCTGTGCCCATTTTTTATTGGTTTTTTTGTCTTTTTCTTATAGAGGTGTTGTAGTTTCCTGTATATTTTAGAAACAAGTCCCTTAGCTAGTCAGTTCTGACATAAATTATCTCTTTTTTTTTAGTTTTCATTATTTTGCCTTTTATTACAAGTATCTTCATAAATCTAATCTGTATCTTTGGGGCTTGGAAATATTACATATAAACCTACAGATATATTTTAAGACATATAGTTGTTGTTGTTGATAAGTGTTGTCAAGTGGTTCCCACTCATAGTGACCCTGGAAAAGGTTTCCGAGGATCCACTGGTGGATTTGAACCACTATCCTTGTGTTTAGTAGTCTGTGGTTATTCTGTAGCGCCACATATACAATAAAATACACACATCATAATTTTTAACTCGACACTAAAGAGTTAGATGACATTGGCACTTTTTCAGTTGTAATAACTCCACTTTTGGAACTGGGACATCTGGGTTATCCTTGGGAACGGGAACATTGTATTTAGTCAAAAAATTAGTGGAAATTGACTGTGTGGTCTTTTTCTTCATAAATCTTGCAGTGACATCTCACTGAATCTATGCAGCAGTGTGTTAAACAGTAAATCATAAAATGGAACATCTGCAAGTGAATAGATGTTCATCAGCAAATCGCAAGCTGTCATATTGTATGTAGTGCATGCTATTAAATGACACAATATATCAAAATAAGAAAGAAAAGAAAAACAAACAATTGTGAGGTGTTTTGTAACTCATATGTCAGGGGCTACCTGTATAAACCTTTTTGTAGCGTTTTTTGTTGTTTTTTAGCAGAGCAGGATGAGAGTTAAACTAGATCATGGAAAAGAGAAACTCAAAGAACAAAGACAGTGTTTTTTCAGCTTGATCCAGAAGAGATAGACATACATAATTGTGTCACTTAGAGAGCAGTAAGGAGCTCTGGTAGCGTAGTGGTTACGAATCAGGCTGTGAACCTCAAGGTCGACAGTTCGAAACTACCAGCGGTTCCGCAGGAGAAAGATGAGGCAGTCTGCCCCTGTAAAGATTTACAGCCTCGGAAACCCTGTACGGGGTCACTATTAGTCGGAACCGACTCCAGGGCACATAACAACAACAACATTCTTGGATGGTAGTGATGAACTACTTCATAGAGTCTCCACATCTTTGTTTCAATCTTATGATTGCCAAGTAATCTTTATATGATTAGTTTGACTTTAATATTCTGATACTGGGGGAAATGCCCTGGATGAGGTCATACAATATTCAGATCACAATGTAAATATAGTTTCTATTGTAAATCACTTGACATTCTCACATATAAATTATAGTCTTTTGTGAATTTGATTAGCATCAGTTTCCCTGCCTGTGTCTAATTATTTTTATACATTGGGAGGACTGGTCTGTGCTCAAAAGACCTTGAGTTGATACCGTTCTGTGAGGCTTCTTCATTTAACAACCAAATGGCTTTTTCCTGATTGTGTCCATCAGTTATTCCAAGATCCTTCCCTTCCTGCTATGGAAAAATAAAGGGAAAAATGTAAACATCTCAAACACTTTAAAATAAGAGTATGTGAATTAAAAGAAAACAAGAAAAAGCATGAGCAATTTTATTTTTCATTTTTAAATTACAGTGGAAATATCTGATTCTAGAATCCTGATGTAGCACTGTAGGATAAACACTTTACCATAAAGTTGATTTGAACGGCAAGGTAAGCAGTTCAAATTCACCAGCTGCTCCTTGGAAACCTTGTGGGTTGCTATGGGTCAGAAATGACTCAACAGTACTTGATAACACATACAGTCTTAAAGGCAGCTCTTGTATGTGAGTACTTGGTAGTTATATAAACTGCAATGTAGAAAATGGACACTGACTTCTCAACTCTGTTGTTCTGTATTCTCCCAGTGTGTTGTTAAATGCCATTGAGTCAGTTCCAACTCATAGCAGCAGGTTTGGGGTTTGAACCTTGGGTTAGCAGTCCAGTGCTTGACCTACAGTGCCACACAGGACTCCATTGTTTTGTTTATGTAAGAATTAAATTCAGAATAGCTCTTATTTCACTCAATAGGTATTTCAAAGATATGTTGGAAAAGTTAGCACGTATACTCACATAAGATTTTGAGGTAACTTCTATTTCAGGTTACTCTCCTAGAAAGCTTATATCTGTGGTCTATAATCAATACATAAATAGCAAATATCTGTTCTCTACCCAGTACTATGTAGTCCTAGTGTGGCATGTGGGTTAATGCACTGGACTGCAAAGTCGGTTTTAACTGCAAGGTTGGCAGTTCAAGCTCACCATCTGCTCCTTGGAAACCCTACACAGGGTCACTATGGGTGGGAACTGACTCTGTGGCACTTAATAACAAAAATAACAAACCTGTGCTATGGAGTCCTGGTATGGTATTGTAGAATAAGCACTGGACTGCTCACTGCAAGATCTACGGTTCAAAGCCACCAGGCACTCCTTGGAAACCCTATACAGGGTTGCTATGAGTCAGAACCAACTCAGTGGCACTTAACAACAGCAACCCTGTACTGTTGGAAGATAGGTAGGTAGGTAGGTGTACGTGGACTCTGCTTTGGAGATGCTTATAATTTCCTGTAGCAATTGATCCTATACGGAGAGTTTCTGAATAAGTCCTTAACAGTTATTTATAAATTAGAGACTTCAGACGGTTTGGAAAAATAATGTTAGAAAATGAGTATGATATAACTTGATCATTAATTTGATTATAATGACATATGCTGACATACTTGGGAGTCTAATAATTACCTCTAAACTACATGTATACCCCAAGACTGATATGCAGTCTGCAAGTTAACCATTCATCATGTTTTTCTTAAAAATTATCGACTATAATTCAGTCTTCTAGTTTTATGCTTTTTATAAAAAATTAATATAGTCTTCATATTTGATATACTTTATATTTCCTTGCTTAGGAGATTATGTTTCCTTAAGCAGTCCTGAGGGCAATTTAAAAAAATCCCAGTTTCAAGAATTAGAAGATCTCTTTTTATTGGCAGCTGGAACTGGCTTCACACCAATGGTTAAAATACTGAATTATGCATTGACTAATACGCTCAGTCTCAGGTATGTAATTTTGTCTTTTAATTGCTACCTTTTGTGAGGCTATTAATTATTATACAGTATTCTAAATTAATTAAGCACTGCACCTTAACAGACAGGTTCTCATTCCCTCAATCATTCGTCCCAGCTGTTTTATTTACTAGGTTGTTACCTCATTTCAGTCTGCTACTTTTTGCTAACTTGATTGGCACTATAAAACATTCACCCTAATTCAGCTTTTGACTTTCCATTCATGAATATTTTAAATGTAATTAAAATCTTTCTGGTTTTTTTTGTTTTGTTTTACTTTTAAGGAAAGTGAAGCTAATGTTCTTCAATAAAACAGAGGATGATATAATTTGGAGAAGCCAACTGGAGAAATTAGCATTTAAAGATAAGAGGTATTAAACTATTCTTACTTGTGTCTAGGCCTTACCTTTGGTTGGAGTACTGAGCTGACTAGAAAGCAAAGAATAAACTAATCAATGAACCTCTAAATGTAAACAATGTTAAGCTTCTTTCCCCCTTCTTCCATTTCCCACCCCCAAAAAAACAAAAATAAATACTGTCTGCTAAAATCAAAGAGACAATATATGATGGGCCTTCCAAAAATTTGTGAAAAAATTCCAGTATCTTTTAATTCCATTTTTCCATGATCTTTTTGAAGCTCCCTCACATATGCTAATAAAATGTATATTGGACTTTATATTGTGTTACTCAATTGGGCTTCAGTGGAAAGGATTTTGTTTAATTAGTTTAGTAATTTAAATTTTTCCAATAATAGAAGGTAGATCAAATAAATTTGGTAAGAATGGATTAAATTAAATAGATTGGTTTACTACAGGATTTCTAAGAGTCTGTAATAATGCTAACATCCTTCTGAGGATGGAAGGCATTTATTAATGCATCTTTAACAAGATTCTTTTCCTTTTTGTTTGCATTAATACTTATTAATAGCCTGTCACTTATAATCCTCAATACACACTTTGGAGAATGCTGGTATAGGCAATAGAAAAAAGTTTGAGTCCAGCTGAACTCAGTGCTATAATGAGGCAACCAAAATGAAAGGAGAAACATTATTTCATTAAAAAAAAGAACCCTAACACAGTCAACTGAAATGAAAAGGTAGTGTAAATAGGTATATGCCCCACCTCCTTAAAAGCAGTAGGATATTCAGAAGGTATATTTTAGAAGAGCGAATTTGACAAGCCATCAAACTTTCTAAAGCAATTTTGTGATCAAGAAAAGCTATTTGTGAGAATTTCAGGACATAGAAAGTTACATCAAATATCTGAAGTAAATATTTTTGTTTACGGTAATATAGTATGGAACTTTTAAATGTTCAAGTTAAAGACCGGAAATTCAGTTCATTCTTCAAGGATTTCCAGGGTCTTCTGAATATTTTCTGAATATCCTTAGTACGTACAATAAATAATGCTATGGTTTTTCTAGTCTCCCTTTGCCCTTCTTTTCTCTTTTAATGTTAATAAACAAGCCTGGTATAGCGTTGTGGGCTAATGCGTCAGAATGCAAAGACTGCTAGGTCAATGGTTCAAGCTCACCAGCTGCTCCTTAGAACCCTATGCAGGGATGCTATAGGTCGCAATTGACTCGACAGCACTTAACAACAACAACAAACATTTTAAAAATAGCAGTTGGCATCAAGCTGATTCCACCTCATGATAGCACCAAGTGTTTCCGAGTAGAACTATGCTTCAGGCCCTCAATAGCTGTAGCCTTTTCTACATTGCCAGGCCTTTCTTTGGAGACATCTCTAGGTGTATGCTAACTGCCAACCTTCCATTTAGTAGTGGAACATTCAGTTAACCATTTGAGCCACAAATTAAGGGTGACCTAAGGTAGGAAGCTCTGGTAGCGTAGTGGTTACGAATCGGGCTGCGAACCTTAAGGTCAGCGGTTCGAAACTACCAGCTGCTCCGCAGGAGAAAGATGAGGCTTTCTACTCCCGTAAGGATTTACATCCTCGGAAACCCTGTACAGGGTCGCTATGGGTCGGAACCGACTCGATGGCACTTAACAACAACAACAAAGGTAGGAAGCATCAATGGACTCAAGCATGCAACAGTAATGAGGTTGGCCAAGGATCGGGCAGTGTTTTTGTTCTGTTGTACATAAGGTCGCTATGAATCAGTACCAACTCGATGGCACCTAACAACAATAAAGGTAGGAAGAGCTGCCTCCTCAAAGTAGAGTTGACCGTGATGATGCCAATGGAGTAAAGCCCATGAGAGTAAAGCCCACAAGACCTTCATTTGCTGATGGGGCACAACTCAAAATGAAGAGAAACAGCTGTAAACATCCATTGAAAATCAGAACATGGAATGTATGAAGTGAGAATCTAGGAAAATTGGAAATTATCAAAAGTGAAATGGAATGCATAAACATCGATATCTTAGGCATTAGTGAGCAGAAATGGACTGGTATTGGCCATTTTGAATGTGACAACCACATGGTTTACTATGCCAAGAATGACAATTGAAGAAGAATAGTATTGCATTGTCAAAAAGAACATATCCAAATCAGTCACGAGGTACAACACGTAGCGGTTACGAATCGGGCTGCTAACCTCAAGGTCTGCAGTTTGAAACTATCAGCCATTCATTCCGCGGGAGAAAGATGAGGCTTTCTGCTCCTGTAAAGATTTACAGCCACAGAAACCCTGTACAGAGTCACTATGAGTTGGAACTGACTCCACGGTACTTAACAACAACAACAAACAGTGAAAACCAGTTAATACCACTATTATTCACATTTGCGCACCATCCACTAAAGCCAGTGAGGAAGAAATAAAAGAATTCTACTAATTTCATCAATCTGAAATTGATGTAATCAAGATGTATTGATCATTACTGGAGATTGGAATGCAAAGGTTGGGGACAAAGAGGATCATTAGTTACAAAATATGGCCTTGGTGATAGAAATGATGCTGGTGGTCACATGAGAGAATTTTGGAAAATCAATGATTTCTTCATTTTAAATACCTCTTTAGACAGCATAAGAGATGATTATATGCATGGACCTCACCAGATAGAATACACAGAAATCAAATCGACTACATCTGTGGAAAGATGATGAAAAAGCTCCATATCATCAGTAAAATATGGCCAGGGCTAGATTATGAAACAGACCTTCAATTGCTCATATGCAAATTCAGACTGAAGCTGAAGAAAATGAAAACAAGTCCACGAGAGCCAAAATATGACCTGGAATATATCCCACCTGAATCTAGAGATCAGCTGAAGAACAGATTTGATACATTAAACACTTAAGACCAAAGACCAGAAGAGTTGTGGGATGACATCAAGAACATCATACGGGAAGAAAGCAAAAAATTATTAAGAAGACAAGAAAGAAGGAAAAGGTCAAAATGGATGTCTGAAGAGACACTGAAACTTGCTCTCTAGTGTTGAGATAATAAAGCAAATGGAAGAAATGAGGAAGTACAAGAGCTGAACAGAAAATAATGTTAAGATACTTGGCTGTCTTTTGAATCTCGATTTCCCTTGCATATTATTATAAAATAGAATCTTGAGAGGGAGAGAAAGAGTAGACAGAAATATCACCATAGAGGGCTTGTAAGTCTGTCTTTTTCCTATGACTGATTGGAATACCTAAAATGGGTCTACAATGTGCCCAGTGAAGGAGGCTTCTTGTAGCGCCTCTACATTACATAAGATCATAGGTGGAATTCTGAACTGCATCCAGAATCTTCTGAGGTGAGAAATTTCCATTTGAAAGGACAAGCAGACCAGCCTGGAGCAGCTAGAACAGAAGATACTTCTTGAAAGAAAGACGGACAGGAAAAATACACAACAATAATGGCACTCTGACTGATTACTACAAGAACAAGCAAGCTGCTCACCCAGGAGACATCAAGGCAAGTGGTCGGGTCCCCTCAGGGCAAACCCCCTTCCAAGACTAAGACTCAGTGGGAATACACGAGCAGACATGCGCTGTGATTGGTGACCATGTTCATCTCCGATAAGGGGAAGTGAGGGAAAAACAGCAATAAAGCTGTGAGCTAAGCCCTACAACATTCAATAGACTCTTGTGAACCCAGGTGGAGACCTGGTTGGCCAGCAGTGTGGCAAGACTTGGGAACTCCTAGGCTCAGCGTCAGTGACATAGCCACAGAGGACTAAAGTGGAGTGAAGTGTCCAGCTAATAAGAAGAGAGGACATGTGCATAAGAACACCCACACTTGCAGATAATACCCACTTGACCTGGCTTCAATGGCTGGATGATCAGAGCTCAACTAGAAGAAAGAAGAGGGAAAAAGAAAAAAGAGTAATCTGATACAATTTGAAGAACTTGACCTACACCTGTGGATGCAATAGCACAAAAGAGGGAACAAATCTATACAGCAAGGATCATTCCTACCCCCTCAGTTAGACAGAGATAGGCAACTTGGACATTGGCTACCCAAAATGGGGGGCTACAAAGGCAAGAAGTGACTGGCCTACAAGCTTTCAAGAGGGAACCTAGATCCAAAGGGCACGGAGGAAGGTAGAATCTCCACTGAATAGTATCCAGTCTGTCTGGGCGGGGCTGAATAAAGGAGATGGGGATGGCACTCATGTGGCACAATAGTGAATAATTGTTATGAGGACTGACTGTGGGGGTTAGAAATGTAAAGGTAGACATTTTGTAGCAAAAGGAAGGGAGTGATTGGCTGTAGTCCGGGAGTGGAGACCTGTTCATCATAGGTGACCCTGCTTATAGTTAAAATATGGGTGGCAAAGCTTCCAAAATCACAGCAACACACAAGCCACCACCGTACAACAAACTGACAGACAAATGGTGGACACTGAACATAGTGACTGCCTATATTTTTGTACTCTGGTGTCAGTTCTGAACCAAGCAATGTATTTGTCCCATTTAACACAGGAAATGCTGATGATTCTGCATGAATTGAACAGTGTGTCTAAACCCATTTCTTTTTCTCCTGCCCATAATGCATGTAGATTCCTAAGCCCCTAATTTGTTCTTTTATGTCACTCTCTGTTCCTCCCAGGAAATATTCTTCAAATAGTGTGTTTCTTAAAATAATGTTCCTTGAGATGCTCATTTGTTATCCCAAAAGACTTTGATTAAATAATAAGAAAAGTGTATATCATATTACCATCTTGAAGATTCACTTTGAACTCACCATATTAATGACAGAAAATATGAAGAAACCTATTTAACTTGTTTTATCCCAGTATATACCAAACACTTGGCAGGCTAGCCTTTCTGTCATGGAATAATTGCAGTAGTCCTGGTATGGACCTGTGTGATAAGCACTGGACTGGTAACCGCGAAGTCAGTAGTTCAAAACCATCAATCACTCCTTGGAAACCCTGTTCACAGATTGTTTTAACAAATCAGTATATCCTGAACT